AGTGAACTACACTGAAAGAATTGGATTTTTCTAAGTGAGAGTGTCTCACCTTCAGACACTGCCTGACCCAGGGGTTGAAATGGTGTGAGTGAGAGTATTTCTCTTGTTTGACTCTTTTGTCCTTTGTCTTTGCTTCATTATCACCCACTGACTTCCACTAAGAGGGCAAGATGCTTCCTAGCAGTGCAGCTGCAGACCTTATTCTCAGCAACACCACTGTGGAAAGTATCTTTTGTTAGGGGAAAAGATAATTTGGGGCATGTGTCCAATGATGGTTTATAACCACAGAGAGAAGTTATTGTAGTCAGAAAACTGAATACTCATTGTCATTTCTAAGTTCTATTTAGTACCATTTTATTCATCTAGGCTTATTTATAAAGTATAAAATAACTAAAATAAAAGACTACACAACCTCTCAAATTATTGTCTGGAGTGTTGATACTGTATACACAGTATCTCCATAATTTCTCTTTGTGTATACAGAGAGGACACAAGATGTGTTGATAGAAGAGAGGATTTGGAGTTGATCAGACCTGGGTTCAAATCATGGCTTAGTCATTTATTAGCTGCATCAACTTTCACAGTCACATTCTTCAAATCTCTGAGCCTCAATGACCTCATTGGTAAGAGTGATTTGATACCACCTCTCACAAATTTGGGAGGGCTATATGAGGTAATGAATTTATATACAACATGCAATACATAGCTCAATAAATATTTTTAATGGATAGGTAGAACATGATATGATAATGACAATAATCATTTTTTTCAAGATTTATTTATTTATGCATACAAGAGCTGGGGTGTAGGCCAGAGGTGTGGTGGGGGATGGTAAGAGGATTCACCAGAGACAAAGTGGGAAGCAGACTAGGTGGACTGACTGTAATACACTCGTGAGGGGAGCAGTGGGTGAGACAGGAGAGGCCTGCTGTGCCAGGTGGGTCACCTCCCTGGCCAGGGATCAAACTCATGCTGCATTGGCTGCAGATAGCGTGATAGTGCTGAAATTTAACCCCTTGAACCACCAGAGATGCCCTGGCAATAATGATTTTTAAGAGAAAAATATTGGCTGAAAAAAGGTAAGGCTAGTAATTAACACAATTTCAACAGATTCTACAAGAATTTGGTTTGCTATCTTCAAAACTATTTTGAAATCAAGAGAAACCATAAGAAGCTTAACATAACTCAGAATACTTGTTTATTTCCAGCACTCTCAAATTGGTTTGATAATTCATTTTCTAATTTGTGCTAATACAAAGGAAATATAATGATTAATTTTACTCAAAAAGGAACTGACACAGATCATGAAGAGAGTTTCCTCCATATTTATTTATGGGAAAGTCATGTAACTTCTTCTCTGTGACTCTAGGGCATAGAAAATATGTTTTTGGTGGCGTTGGGCCATTTTACTTTATTCCTTACAAGGAAAAAAAGAAATTTGAACTAGGAAATTTTCTAAAGATTTCTGACTTCTTTTAATAGTTAAAACATACCTATGGTTTATTTCTCTTCAATTATCTGTTACATATACAAGGCAAATTCATTGTTTTAAGAGGTTGACAGTCTTTCAGAATTGCTGAGAATAAGACAGCGAAGACAACACAGGCAAATATAAGCAAAAATAAATAAGAATTGTCATATTAGTCAAATATGAATTCAGAGCAAAGTGAATTAAATGAGACAATGCAGGGATTTTATAGTGATAAGCAATATGATCCACAACAAAGACTATATATGCATAAATGAACACAGCATCACATAAATCATACATTGAAAACTACCACAACTACTAAGAGAAAAAGATAAAAATACCTAGCAATAGGCTCTTGTAGTTCATGATTGACCTACTCATCAAAAATTAAGAATTGGGCCTCCCTGGTGGCACATGGGTTAGAGTCTCAGCAGTATCAAGTTATCACTAGCCACAGCAGCATGAGTTTGATCCCCGGCCAGGGAGCTACCCACATATGGCACAGCAGACCTCTCTTGTCTTGCCCACTGCTCCCCTCAGCAGTGTATTTCAGTGGATCCACCTGTTCTGCTCCCCACTCTGTCTCTGTTGAAATCTCTTACCCCCCACCCCTGCAACTCTGGCCTACACCCCAGTTCTTTTTTTTTTTTTTTTTTAATATTTATTTATTTATTTATTTATTTATACATGCAAGCACTGGGTACAGTCAGAAGCGCGGGAGGGTGAGAGAATTCACCAGAGCCAGAGCGGGGAGCAGAGCAGGCAGAAGGACCGAAGTACACTGCTGAGGGGAGCAGCGGGCGGCAGGAGAGGTCTGCGCGCCATGTGGGACCCTCCTCCAGTGGCCGGGGAGCAGCCGGGGATCGAACCGGCTCTGCAGAAGCTGGGGGCAGCTTCGCAACCCAGCGCTCAACCACTGCGCCACCGGGGAGGCCCCACCCCAGTTCTTTTATGCATAAATAAATAAAAATAAATCTTTTAAAAATTAATAAGACTATGAAAAACCGAAGAATCCATGATTTAGGCACATGAACAAAGGACAGTCCGAATGTAGGGTAAGTGGAAAAGCATCAGGTTTTTCTGCCTTCCCACCATTGGAATAGATGATGGATTCCTGTAGTCTTGAATACATGCCTGATGGCGGGCACCTGGAGTAGGGTGTGGGCCTACATAGGTGGCATTCACCTGGGTTGAGATGGGGCTTATAAAGGCAGCGTCATGGGGACGCCAGAAGAACAAATGGAAGAGCAGAAGCAACGAGAAGCATAGAAGCAGAAGCAGAACCACAAGAAGAGCTGAGAAGCAGAGAGAGAGTGAGCGAAACAGAAGTAGAGAGAACCAGAGAATGCCAGGGAGCCCAGATAGAGTGAAGACTTACTGGGGGCTGGGAGGCCTGCCAGCCTCCTGGCACCCCTGCCTGCTGTGTACCTGGTAAATCCCAATAAAAACCTGAAAAGCCACTAAGGGCTCCAGGACTCTCCTCCTTTACTCTCTCTGCTTGGATCATAGAGATCCTGTTCTGTCTGTTCCTGCCATTACACTCAACATGTGTACAAGGTCAGAGCAGTGGGAACTTTTAAAGGATTGTTATAGGACAGGGAGAGGGGCAGCCCAAACCCCGCAAACCTGCCTATTTTACATGGGTTCTGCCATCCGCCGCATCTACACAAAACATAGGAGACTTTAATGGGAAGGAACTTTAATAAAACTAGGAAACAATACAGGTAAGGCAAAGAGTCTAGTTTCTAAATGAAGCACCCAAAGTTACCCGTCCCCTCATGGGTAAAAGTCCATCCATATGGGATCGGCCCAGAACAAGGCCCCAAAGCCTGCTACAAGTCTAAAGCATCTTCCAGTGGGGACCCACAGAAAAGGGTCACAAACAACCGGATAAGCCCGGAAGGAAAAGAGCAAAATCAACATCAAGATAAAAGCTGCCATTGTCACCTCCCCACAGGTCTCACCCACATCGTGTCACCCAGTCCACGACCAAAAGACAAGCGCAGTTTCTTCACGTGTCTCTAGGCTCCATGCGCCTCCTCCAGGTCTCCTGGCTCCATCCTGCTCCTTCCTCAGTCTCTTCTTCAGCTTCTCCCCTTCCTGCTCAGCTCCACCCTCCCTTGGGTGGGGCAGGAAACCTCCCCCTTTCCTGGGGACCACCCTGTTGCAGGATCAGGCAGGAAAGCGGTCTGAGTTTTAATTATTTCTTGTGAAACTTTTCAAATTGATTCTTAAGTCCCTCTGTCTGGCCCACCTGATTGGTGGGCAAATATCTGGCAGAAGGCTGAGCTGTGGGGACCTGCCGCATGATCAGCAGAGGATCTCTTGTCTTTTCATAGTCAAATCATGTTTTCAGTTTTCCAATAAGCACCTTCCCTGATTACATTACAGCTTGATAATGTCTCTGTTGACAGAACTCTGACCCAACAAATCAATTCCTAGATAATTTCCTCAGAGTTCTTGCCTGGGATCTCTTTGGCATGGAGATGGGGTAGATTTCATAAAACATTAGTGGGGGGAGTTCATTCAGGACAAGATAACAGTAGGTAGTACTGATACCGAACGCCAGCCGCAGTTTCCCTCAGCCAATAAAAGGAAACAGTGTGAGGAGAAGAAAAGTATTTTAATTTGTCGACAAACTAAGGTGGGCATCATACTCATGTCTGAAAGACCACTATCCTCTTTGCAGAGGGCAGGGATATTTATACAAAGGATTTTTTTTTTAAAGGGGGAGATAGGCAAGAGTTGGCATGTCTTTTTTTTTTTTAAAGTTTTGTTTTATTTATGCAAGAGCTGGGGTACAGGCCAGAGTCCGGGAGGGTGAGAGAATTCACCAGAGACAGAGTGGGGAGCAGGACAGGCAGACGAACTGAAAGCACTGCTGAGTGGAGCAGCAGGCAAAACAGGAGAGGTCTGCCGCGCCATGTGGTAATCTCCCGGGTTGGCCAAGAATTGAACCAGCATTGCAGAGGCTGCAGACATCTTCACAGTGCTGCACTCAACCTGCTGCACCACAGGGGAGCCCTGCATGTCTTTTTGATGCAGGCATCTGACAATCTGGGGAGATTGGTAAGGATTGGCACCAGCTCTGCTTTGTTCACTCCCTAGTGTTTAATTTCCATATTATCTTCTTAGGAATGTTCTTTCTTTTCCTTACAATGCAGAAAGACAAACTTGTTAAATGAATAAAACTTTTTATATGCAAGAGATAGGGATGCCCATCTGGTGGGGCAGGAAAAGAGACCGTCAGTACTAAGGATGCACTGGCCATTTTATTACCTACTTCTTGTATATGTGGTCTCCATGAGGAGGACCGCTTATCCTTCTGAAAGAACTGATGATTAAAATGTCACTTTTTTAAAAAATTAAAACATGATTTATAAATAAGATTAAAGTCCCACATTCACAGAACCATTATTAGATTGGTTAGGTTTTTGGTTGAATACATGAGAGAAAATCCCTCACACTTTTTCGCAAAATTTCTCCAAATTGTGTCATGAATTTTGTTGTTTCTTATATTTCTAGAATACTACCACAAACTAAACTGTGGTGAATCTTGATTAACAGAAAGTTGCTTCCTCAAAGTCCCTACATTTAACCATCGATTTGTGATTTCAAGATTGATTTCTTGCAGTAAGTAAATTCAGCTGTTACCCATTCCCTTGAGATTGCAATAATTTAGCTTGATCTGTATTGGAAGACTATTTGAAAAATTTCCTTCATAAATGAAAAAAGTCTAAAAATTCCTATTGTTTTTCTCTAAAGATATTAAATTTGGTGCTGAATGTTTTGTTTGTTTGTTTTTTTTTCATTTTTGCATAATGTATGCATTTTCATCTTGGTTATAGTTCCCATACAATTCCCAACTATAATGGCAAGAGGACACGGAGCCGACGGGTAAAAGAGGAGTCTTGGAGCCCTCGGTGGCTTTTATTGGGATTTACCAGGCACATGGCAGGCAGGGGTGCTGGGAGGCCGGGAGGCTGGTAGCAAGTCTTCACTCTTTCTGGGCTCTCAGGCATTCTCTCTGCTTCTCTCCTGGTTCTGCTCCTGCTGGCATCCCCGTGATGCCACCCTTATAAGCCCAGTCTTAGCCCAGGTGAATCCACTTATGCATGCCCACACCCTGTTCCAGGTGCCCGCCATCAGGCATGCATTCAGGACTGCAAGGATCCATCATTAATCCTAATGGCGGGAGGGCAGAAAAGCCTGAAAATCACTTACTCTAAAACAAACATCCCTTTTGTTTTGATCCTACTCCCTACTTTCCCCCCTGTAGTGTGTCCCTGGTTTATAGTTGCTTGTTTTGTTTTTTTTTTTAAAGATTTATTTATTTATGCATACAATAGCTGGGGTACAGGCCAGATGTGCGGGAGGGGGAAAGGATTCACCAGAGACAGAGTGGGGAACAGAACAGGCAGACTGACTGAAATACACTGCTGAGGGGAGCAGCTGGCAAGCCAGGAGAGGTCTGCTGCACCATGTGGGCTGCTCCCTGGCCAGCCAAGGGTCAAACTTGTGCTGCAGAGGCTGCAGACAGCTTCATAGGTTGCGTCTTAAGCCCTTGTGCCACCTGGGAAGCCCTATAGTTGCTTGTTGTTTTTGATTTTTTACAGGTAATCCTTGTGCCTTAACTATGCAAATGAAGGATTGGGGTCAGTGCTGCCATAACCAGTACATACACCTCAGTGTCTCTGTGTTGGGAGGATAGGATGCCCTAAATGAATTCCACAAACACAGGTTTTATGGACTCCAACCCCACTCTAGAACAAAGAGATCCAAGACACCAAGAACTGCAAATCCCATAATGTCATCATCACAGAAGGGAGGATTGCTGGGAACTGAGGGAGGAGTTAAGCAGCCAAGTCTGGTATATAACCAGAGACAGCTGGGCCTGGAGGTCTCTCTTGGCTTTTCGCCGGCTCTCAACGTGCTGTTGGGATTCCAGATCAGCGGAACTGGTAGGACACATTCACCAATTTATCTCCTTCTCTTTCTCCCTGAGTTATTCATTCTTCATTTCCCCTTCTTTTGTAAATAAACCTTTCATTAACCTTTGCATGTGTGCCTGCATTGAGTCTTATTACATGTCCCTTTAAGCGCTTGGGTGAGGACCCACAGTCAGGCAACGCATTTCATATCGGGGTTGCCCTGTAACAGTTTGGTGCCCAGTGTGGTTGACCACGTTATTACACCCGTGGTTGACCTTGGGTTGGTCAAAACTAACTGTCCTTGGGTTGGTCACTGTAAGTGCATTAGGTCTGCCGGACACATGGCATAACCCTTCTGCCTCTAGTCTTGAAATGTTTTGCTTTTTCCTTGCATACAGCTCTCTTTTGTGGGTGTATTTTTGGCCCAAACATGGCCTCAACCATGATATTAAGCAGTTTTATCCCTAGCTTGAGTTCTTTCAGTTTTCTTCTAGCCTTAAGTTTAAATACCCTTTTCCCTTTAAATATTACCACCAGTTTTACAGACATAAATAATTTGGTGAAACCTGGTAGGGTGAGGACCCACAGTCAGGCAACCCATTTCATATCAGGGTTGCCCTGTAACATCTGGAGTTCACCAATACTCAATCACAGGAGGACATGATGTAGTTTTGTGACTATCATAATAGTTCTACTGCAGTGCTCTCATTCTCACACAAATCATTTGGCACAAAGCTGTAACTCTCACATCACTAATCTCCCACTCATTTTCTTTCTTTTTTTATTAAATTTTGAAATGTTTTACATCATTGTTCATTTTTAAACAATATTTGCTTCCCCCACCCCCTCAGGTGTAGTCCCCATAGAATTTCCTTCCCCAAGGCACCCCATGCACCATCACCTCAGTCCCCTGTGCTCCTCCCTCCCTCCCTCTGATCCTTCTCCCTCCTCCTCCCCTGCAGGATGTCTCTGATTTATAATTGTTCATTTTTGCTTTGTTGTGTTTTGTACTGTTATTTTTTTTTTTTTACACTGATATCTTATTTGGTTCCCTGATATTCCTGCTGTAAGTGAACCCATCCGATATTTTTCTTTTTCCTTCTGGCTTATTTCACTGACCATAATTCCTTCTAGCTCCATCCACGTTGCTGCAAATGGCATGACTTTTATCCTTTTTGACTGCTGAATAATATTCCATTTTGTATATATACCACATCTTCTTGATCCAGTCCTCTATTTTTTGGGCATTTGTGTTGTTTCCAGGTTTTACCTATTGAAAATAGTGTTGCAGTAAATATAGAGGTACATGTGTTCTTTTGAATCAATGTTTTTGTGTCCTTTGGATATATCCCTAGGAGTTTTTCCATTCACTTTCCATGGAAATAACCCATAGAACTAAATTTATGGACTACAAGAATTACAGTGATAGTGGAGCCAAGCTGGTGATTCAACCCAAAGAGTCATTGATGGTTTCTTAATTTCATTCAGAAGCTGGATACAAGTAAAGCTTTGTAGGACTCTTTTTTTTTCTAAATTCACTTAGTCTTAGCCACTTAGTTTTCTGGGAACTTTTTTGGGATACAATGGGTAAACAGCTAGGAATGGAACCAAGCCCACATTCTTATTCTAAGAAAAACCCTCCCCTGTGGCAGGAATTCAAGCCTAGGGGTGGAATGGTGAACAGAAAGAAAGAAGTAAATAGTTCAGCCAGCTCTCTATAATGTTGGAGAAAATTACTTCAGATATTGAGAGAAACAGAGACTCCTTTAGTGCTTTGGGTCCGCATAGATATTTGTGTTCGGTTGAGGATTCAGGCTACTCCTTCAATAGAGATTAGCTGATCAATTTACTGAATTTCTGGGATCCATACTTAGCAAACTAACAACAGTGATTGAACACAGGCATTATTACTTTCTAATGAAAACCTGTACCGGAAGTTTGAAATGATCAAGTAAAAAAATGACAACTTCTTATGAATTCCTTTGTTTGATGCTGAGAATATGTATAGGTAATTTTATTCTGTGGGGTCATTCATAAATAACCAATGTCATAACATCTAAGGACTAATTAAGAATTTTTTAGCAGAATTGGTAAAAATTGGTAGAAATTTACTCAAAAGAATCATATGTCTCTGATATTGTGTTGCCAGGAATTATATCAAAAATTATTATGAACTGATGTCATGGGAAAAGGTAAATCAGACAAAAAAAGAATTTCTTCTTTTATATCCTATAATAAATCCAGAGAAGTCTAAATATAATCAGGCAATGAATGAAATGAAAAATCATGAAATTAATCCAATTCATAAGAACAAGACTGAGAAACTTTCAGGAATAAATACTTTTTTTAAAGATTTATTTATTTATGCATACAAGAGCTGGGGTACAGAACAGAGGTGCAGGGTTGGTGGGGGAGCCGGGGAGGGGTGAGAGTATTCACCAGAGACAGAGTGGGGAACAGAGCAGGCAGACTGACTGAAATATACTGCTGAGGGAAGCAGCAATGAGACAGGAGAGGTCTGCTGTGCCATGTGGGAAGCTCCCTGGCTGGCGGGGTGTAGGGGGGGTGGGGGGGGGGTTTGGGGTCAAACTCATTCTCAGAGGCTGTGCATAGCTTCACAGTGCTGTGCTTAACCCCTTGTGCCACCAGGGAGGCCCTTGTCTTACTTTCTTAAAGTTAATGTTTAAAGCTAATGAAATAATATAATAAAAACTGACTTTTAATTATTAATACACTATAAAGTAAAAAATTATTAATTCATTTTAAATTAACAAATCCAATGCCACTCATTACTATATGCTAATACATGGAATTCCTGAAACACTAGTTCTTATTTTGAAGTGCTAATTCCTTTGTCATTTAGCTTTCCTAAGAGTTTGTATTTGTGAGAAATATAAGATAGGAAGAACTTAGGAAATATTTACCAATTGACACCTATGTAGTCCTGATCAAATAAAATAATTCAAATAAGAACCCTTAGGTTTCATTGTTAGATTAGACATTGAGGTTAAGGATAAAGTGAAGTGAAAGGGAGTACAATGGAATGGATGTGGTCAGAAAGAAGAGGGAGCAAAGGTATGTGTGAATCTTGAGATGCAAATTTTATCCACTGATTATCATTTTAGAAGCTTATTTATACACACAAGTAATTTAAGAACTCTAGGAGGTCTCCTATAAAATTATATTACCAGTTCCTTCCCAAACTTCTTCTTTCCCTTGATAATTTATATTTTACAGGGTCATTTTTGGTCTATTTTTAAACAATAATAAAAACAGTCGGGGTGTGTTTGGATTCTGCAGCTGCAGAGGTATTGTTCTCGTCCACTTGATGTGATGATGGATACTGAGAGTTCAATTGCAATGATGATGATGACTTCTGGCAGGCAGCTTTAGAGAAATCTCTGGGGCTTGCGTGACACAGGACATGTTTTTCTGAACCAAAGGGAAGCGAGTCAAGGTTTTATTACCTCACCTTTTGAAAAATGGCCTGCAGTGGCTTCAGAGAGTGACCAGAGCTAAAAGAATGATTGTATATAGAAAGAGTTGTAGGTTATTTCATCAGAAGACATAGAGTAGAGATGGGGTAGTCACTTGAGCAAAATAGGGAAACATACTTGCTGTGTTGCTAAAAACAACAACAACAACAAAAAAACGCAAGAATTTTCTGATACTGCTTTAAGATAAGACTGGTGAAGGAAATCCTAAGAATACTTAGGAAGGTGTAGGAACTCAAGGCTTATTTTATATTTGGAAAGAAAACACTGATCTATTTCCTCAAAATGGTACAAAAGGAAGAAGGACCCCAAATCTTTTCCATGTTTTCTAGATTTATTCTTGGACCTGACATGGGAAATGGAACAATCCAATCAATAGTTACCTCCCCCACTTTGAATTGAGATACTCCAGATAGTGTTGGCAGGAATAAGAGTTCACTTCATGGTGGGGAGGGAGGTGGGGAGCTATAAGTAGATTCTAAAATGCCGGAAATCTCATCCACTTACAAATACCTTTCCCCCTAAATGTAAAATCCTCTTAAAATGAAGTAGGCTGTTACATTGATTTGATGCAATTATCATGACCCTCTCTTATCATGACCCTTAGTTTATAATTTCTGGAGAAAGCAAGACATTATCAAGCCCTATTACAGAGGGTAAGTCCTAGGTCGAGACATCACAGTACATCCCAGACATCTGGGAAAGGAGCAGTGGTTCCAGAGGGGAGCAGATAGAATATTTGAAGGCTACAATAATTGTTTACATAGTTCCATCTCTTCACTGCATGTTAATGAGTTTAAATTTTGGAATTTTATATCATTCCAGTCTTAGAGGGAGAAATACTTCATTGACTTCTGCTTCTAGGATCTCAAATCTATGGATTATCAGGGTGGGATAGTGACAAAGTTTTATAGCATTTTATCAACTGAAAAAGCATTCCCAAGTTTGAAGTTCCGTTAAGATAAAAATTGGCCAAGAGTCAATTCATTGGTTTTATACTAGTTCCCTTAGGTCATGGAAAATCTCCAGAAATGACAGCTTTCTTCCTGCATGTTATCAGGTATGGACTCCACCCTGCTGTTCTGTTCAAATGGTTTAGTTACTGCAAAAAAAGATACAAAGGGAAAAATGAGCAGAAACATTTACTTGCCTTCTTATTCAGCCTTAATTATGAACCTAAATGGAGAGAATGAAATACTCTCAGCTGGAAGTAATCTATTGGAGTCAGTAATACAAGTGAGGTCCATTCATACACTGAAATGGTATTGAGAATTTTATGTGTATGTATATGTTATACACAATGCACATATATTATACCATATACATATATTGTATGTATGCTGTCCTATCTGTGGAGAAGAGTTTATATTTTTCATCCATTTCACAAATGGAACCATGACCAAAGAAAAGTTAAGAATTATAGGAGATGTAAGGCATTGAGAGAGCGGGGGAAAGGACTGTAAAGGAGAAATTTTTAATGAACATTTAGTAATAACGCCATCAGGTACCACAGTGCATAAAATAGACACTGGAATGTACATTTATAACGCGTTTGATTCATATTGCTAATAATCAGCCACTTTGCTCTTGCATGTTATGTAGAATGACACATTGATATAATTGCACAATTTTCAGGCATTACAGAAGCTGATCTGATATATTACCGGGGATTACTTCCAGGGATTACTACTCTAGCAGGGGTTAGAGGTGTTGTTGTTGTTTTTTAAAAAGATATATTTATTTATGCATACAAGAGTTGGGGTGTAGGCCAGAGGTGCAGGGGGTGAGCGGATTCATTAGAGACAGTGGGAAGCATAAGAAGCAGATTAAATGAAATACACTGCTGAGGGGAGCAGCTGGCGAGACAGGAGAGGTCTGCTGCACCATGTGAGTCACCTCCCTTGCCAGGGATAGAACTCACGCTGCAGGAGTAGCATGACACTTAACCCTTGTGCCACCAGGGTGGCCCTTAGAGGTGTTCTTAATATTGTAGGTCTGAGTAGTGTGATATCAGGGAAGATTGCTTGATAAAATAAAAACGTCCACGTCTTCTTTTATGTTAACTTAAATGATTCTAATATCCAGCACTATAATATGAGTGACTCGTAGAATTCCTAACTCCTTACTCCTCCCAGACTTGTTCATTGGTGTTAGCTTTAATGGTTATAAGAAAGCTGGTAGGGAAGAGGGCAAAGTGAGGAAAATGACCAAGTCTTTTTGTCCTGCTGTATTCCCCTTAGTGGTGAGGCATTTGCTATTCTAACACAACAGCATTTTATTACTGAACCTTTAATGGAAGTTAAATTGGAAAATAATAAGAGAGATATAAAATTACCCATTATCTATATTTGTAAAACCTCTTTACAGAAAGACCAGTGATTTCTTACTTTTCATTTAAGGGGGAAAATCAAAATTTTGAGAATGAACAATTACTTAATAATGTAAATTTTATTAATTTCTAACTAAATTGTTCCATACATATAAAATAAAACAGAGATTCTATAGGTAACATGCCTATTATAAATTCACTTCAAAATATGTAAAAGTTTGAAAAGCCAATCTTACTTAGAAATTCAACTTAACATATTGGGTTCTATTGATTAATTTGATAAAGAAGCCAAAGGAATTTAAAAAAATAATATGTTGTACTACGTTTCCTCATAGGAGTAATATATTCCTTATTCAATAATTAAAACCACCATTAACACAGAATAGATATTTTTTAAATAGTATTTAACAAATACTTCTTTATCAGAAAATATGAGCTTTTTTGCCAACAACACTCACAAAAATCCTTAATGTAACCTAAATACTTCTTACATGAAAGGGTGTATTCAACAGTTATTGCACAATGATGGGATGCACCATGCTGGAAGGGTAACATACCTTAGCTATTTATTTTCCCAAGATAAATGTGTTTTTCCTTAGACCTTTCTTTTAAAGAAAATCCACACTTGAATCTATCAAGATAAGCAAGAAGCTAATTATGACCAGCAGCAATATTGAGTTTGGCTCTTAAGTTATACGCTAATGTTCAGGGTGAATAGAGTAATGTGGTTGAATCACAAGATAAATAAGTAACAAGTTACTAAAGAATAGGGGGGATGCCATAGCTGAGATGACATTAAGATAAAGATCTTAAAGCTCAAAGAGTAGAACAAAACACCCCTTCCCTAGTAAAAAGGAGCAGTTTCTCTAGTTCTCCTAAGATTTGCAAGGATTGCGTCAGCCCTAAGACAAAAATCCTCCATACCTGTTGCTTCAAAATATGAGAATTTGCTAATTATTATATAGTGCTTTAAATCTTACAGAGTGCTTTCAAACATGTTGTGGTATTTCACACTCACAACCAACCTGAGACCTTTAGAGGGCAGAATCTCTTTGGTTTACTGTCATGCTCTTCTTGTCTCTACTGAGCCCAGTATATAGTAGCACTCATATCTTTTTGAATGAATGAATAAAAGGTAAGGTGACTTGGTGAAAACTATCCATGTGTAGATGAAGTTGGGTTCATTCTTGATCTTCTGATTCCAAATCTCCTGTTCTTTTATAATTCTATCCTTCATCTTTCCTATAGACAACCAAATCTTGATTGTGTGCTTCCTTTTTTTAAATTTCAAAACGAATCTTCTGAGTTCTTCAGAGTTCCTAATCAATTTCATTTCTAACTAATAAAGTTAGTTAAAATCAAGTGTTGACTAACTTTCTCTGTAAAGGGTCAGATAGCAAATATACTCAGCTCTTTGGGCCCTTTGGTCTCTGATGACTTCTTAACTCTACTATTGTAGTATGAAAACAATTATAGACAACATTTAAATGAGTATGGCTATGTTCTAATAAAAGTTTATTTATGAATACTGATATTTCAATTTCATGTAATTTTCCCAAGACCCAAAATGTTATTTTTTTTATTTTTTAAAAGCCATTTCAAAATGTAGAAGCTATTTTTAGCTTACAGGCCCAACAAAAGTAGGTAGTTGGCTAGATTTGATCCACAGGTCTGAGTTTTCCAGCTCCCTCTTTAAATGATAGTGATAATAATAAAAGTCCAAAATCTCTGTATAGTAACTACATAAAATCATTCCAATCATTCTTACATTGGTGAATTCATGTATCAAGGAAAAGGGTATTTATTTTAGGTTTTTTTTTTCCAGTGGTTGCTCTTTATTGCTATCTAAATGGGAACAGATGGTAAGTAGGAAAAAGCTGTTGGTACTCTAGTACTATTTCATTTGGAGTGACTGAGTGAAAAACAGTGGCGATGTGATAATGAGGGAAAAAAAGAATTTCCAAAGTATACTTACTGTGTTTCTACAATTTAGTGATTTGAACTCAATTCAGGATTGTCATTATTATAGCTATCCAGGTCTTCCCAGAAAGAAATGTTAAGACTAATAAAAGGAAAGTTTTCCTACCTGAAAATATGGACTCAACTTTTTCTAAAAAAAGTATTTGCTATTTGAAAACTTATCTGCCTGTCTTGAAACAGTTACAGTGACAAAAGCAAATTTCAAATACTCTAACATATGCTTCAGAAAAATCTCTAGTATATGTCTAGAAAAAAAGATAGACACCCTGCCTAGTTTCTATAGGATAATGAGGAATAAATTCAATGGAAAATATATGGAGGTGCTGCTGAAGAAGGGCAGAAGTTGTGGCGGGAGAAGGGAGACATTTCCAAAGTTACAGGTACTAGAAGATGAAGCTTTAGCTGATACAGAAAGATGAGTTGTTTTTCTCCTTCACTATGCATTGCTTCAGTAGTGCTAAACTGTTCATTAAGATGCTGATGTACTATCCCAACATGGCTACAAAATATTTTATTATGTTTCATGAGAATTTACATGAAAAGTGGAATTTTTCACTGGTGGAATTTTTCACTGGCCTCCCTGGTGGCACTATGAAGGGGTTACGTCTCAGTTATCAGCAACCACTGCAGTACGAGTTCAATCCCCTACCAGAGAGCTGACCCACATGGTGCAGCAGACCTCTCCTGCCTCACCCACTGCTCCCCTCAGCAGTGTATTTTAGTCAATCTGCCTGTTCTGCTCCCCACTCTGCCTCTGGTGAATCTCTCACTTCCCTGCACCTCTGGCCTATGCCCCAACTCTTGTATTCATAAATAAATAAATCTTTTTAAAAAACATAATTTGGGAATAAAAGTGTGTAATCTCTCCATTCATTTCTTCACAGATCTTTGTGTCCGGAAGGGGCCTGAATAGTGAGAAAGTTAAGGTAATGATTATTTCATTATAAGACCACTTTTTTGGAGGGTTGGGCAAGTCAATTGCAAATGTGTTTTCAGTCCCTTCATTCACTGTGACTTTCAAGGAGCATAAGTTTCTCTCATCTGGTGAGGAAACTTAGAATCTGAAAAATCTCTTCTGAGAATTCAGTTTTCTGTGATTGTCCTGATGCCAATGAGATTGCCTGTATTTGGATTAAGGAACTTGTTGCCAACGAGATGAAGAATTTCTCTACATATAATAGGATGATCTTCCAATGAAGACCTTGTCAAACTTTCTCATGGGAAACATATATTTTGTGTGTGAAGCCAGCAGACATTCCCTTTGATCTCTTGGGAAGACTGCCATTATTCCAATCCACAAATCAGAGCAAACAGATTTCTATGAAACATCCCTGCTCATTTGACCTCAAGCTTTTTGTTGTGGTTTTACTCAATAGGAGGTAAGACATGAAAACATGGACAGAAGTTCTTTTGAAACACTGAGCAGAATCTGAGATGCTGTTTGCCAAGCGCAAGGTTTATATTTAATTTTTGAATATTTACTTGTTTCTTGTATGTAAAACCTCCACCCTTCAGTGTTTATTTTGGAAGTCATGTAAACGGTTAAGACTTAGCCATGCCATTTTCAGATGTTCATTTCTGAAGAATTAAGGAATATTTTCAGTGTGTGTTGTAGGAGTTTCTTTCTTTTTTAAAAAAAAAATATTTATGCATACAGAAATACAGGGGAGTGAGAGATTCATTAGAGACAGAGCGGGGAGCAGAACAGGTGGATTGACTGAAATATACTGCTGAGGGGAGCAGCAGGAGAGGCAGGAGAGGTCTGCTGCACCACGTGGGTTAGCTCACTGGCCAGGGATCGAACTCATACTGCAGTGGCCACTGATAGCTTCATAGTGCTGAGACTTAACCTCTTGCACCTTCAGGGAAGTCCCTGTTGTAGGAGTTTCTATTTCATCTTTTCTTCTCCTTGGACTGGAATAAAATAGACTATGACCTCCTGTTCTTGTCTTCTTGAGCAAGTCCTGTATTTCTTAAGGAGACTCTTCATGGGTCAAATGACATCTATTTCATCTACAAACACTGTCAGGGATTAAAGGAGAAAGACCCTCTTGTTTGTCTGATGCCAGGAAGGACATACACAATTTCACAGAGACAAAATCCACAAGTTTGTGTCAGCACTGCCTTTAATAGTCTTGAAACATTGGGGTATTCACCAAATCTCTTTCCACTTTTTCATTTGTAAAATGTGGTTAGTTGAACTATATTTCAGTCAGGATGTCCCACATTTCCATTGTATAAAAGCTCAAATGTTTTTACACGTCCATCAGGGACTGGCAGAAGAACCTGCATTGAGTAGTCACTTAGGGACTTGGAAACTTGTCAAGTGTCGTACAAAGCAAATAGCACCTGCCATTTGTATTTAATTTCCAAAACTCTTCCCAAGACCTTGCATTTATTAAATAAATCATATATTTTCAGTGTATTACAGATAAAGATTTGTTAAATGCTTTGCCAAAGAAAAAAGTAAAATGGCATCCTGTAGGTCTCCAACAAAGTTTCTTCAGCATCAACTGCTGAGCATTGACTTGGTTCCTAAACCAATGCTATATTTTACTTTGATGTACCATCCTAGTTGTAGATAGTAATTTCTATATCCATCTGGTAAGCATGGATTATGCTATGATAGCAAAAAATCTCAAAAAAAATTTAACTAGGTTATATTTCACTTAGGAAATGTTTCCTTAAGTGTTGGGTGTTTACTCATTGCAGTCCCTCAAGGATCCAAGCTCAACAAAATGCAGATGCCATGCCAGATACTGTCAGTGGCCATATCAAAGAGCAATGAGAACTCTGGAGGCTCTCACACCAGCAATGAACTCTGCAGCCTGAGAGTGTCACATATTTCTTTTACACAGAGCTCAGTGGCAAGAGGAAGTCACAAGTCCCCACTAAAGGGACTTTTCTGTGTAACCACAAAGAGGCAACACACACATATTTTGTGAAAAAACCCATGATTATCACAAGTGGGTTCCTTTCAGTCATAAAATAGATGATATTACTCATCTATGGGTCAAGAAATCTTTGTGTGACAGTCTAGAACACAGAAAGAGCATCATTACATGTACCGACAACAATTTCATATTTAAAGAAATACTCCTGGATCTGTAAAAGATGTACAGATTTCAATACTTGTGAATGAAGTTATCTAATCATGACTGCAGCAAAAAAGTGTACTAATTCTATTGGCATTCAGCTCATGAATTTCTACCTAATCCTTTTTGTGTCATGCTTTCTCTGGGATAAAGGGAGTTAATTCCAGTGAAACCTGAAGTCAAGTTTGAAAAAAGGCACAGAATTCTCAGCTGGTTCTTGTCCACTGTGTTGGCAGCAGTGAATTTGTCAGTGGCCAGTTTTCCATTTACCTCCATTTTCCAGAAGTTCTAAAGGGATTGCTGAACCAGCACTCAAAAACAGGCATATTTGTTTGGTGGTAGAATAAGGTATTTTAAGCACAATTTGGAAAATACTGTAGCTTCATTGTGCAAAAGTTTCTATATACTGAAGTAAAATATGGCTGGTACAATGGCTAGCCAGGAAAACTCTTGTTCTATCATCCCTTTGTCTTTGTATTGAAGGGAATGGACATGAACAAGAAATGAGAGAAAATAGACGTCACACTTTGTTAAATGCACAAGTGGTTACATTTACTAGATTTTTTCAAGATTTGTTTATTTATACAAGAACCGGGGTACAGTCCTGATGTGCAGGAGGTTGAGAGGATTCACCAGAGACACAGCGGGGAATAGAACCGGCAGACTGATGAAATACACTGCTGAGGGGGAGCAGTGGGCGAGACAGGAGAGGTCTGCTGTGCCATGTGGGATTCTTGCTGGCTGGCCAGGGTCGAACTGGTGCTGCAGAGGCTGCGTACAGTTTCACAGTGTGGCGCTCAACCCGCCTGCACCACCAGGGAGGCCCTGCAAATTACTAGATTTTGAGTAAAAAAAAAAAAATTATCCCCAATGGTCCACAAATCTATGGACCAAGTAAAAAGGAGAATCACTTTCAACAAGACAAAGCTCAGCATCAGAGTTTGGGGTAAGGAGTGACAGGGCTGTGAGAGAGAGTGCTTGAAGTCCATGTGGCCACTATCTGTAGCCCTGATTGGGGGTTTTCATGTTCTTAAAATCCAAAAAGCTCCTGACTTATAATTATCTCTTGAGAATTTTAGTCTTCTACACTACAAATTGTAGAATGATCTTTGACAAAATGACTCTACAGCCTTTGAGCTGTAGGACATTGAAAAATTATTTAATCTCCCTGTCCCTTAGTTTCCTATACACAAACACAAAGTACCTAGTCCATAGAAAGTACCTAAACCATGTTAGCTTGTGGGTTCATAAATCATTTGTTTCTGACAAATACAGTAGTCTCCATGGCAATATTACTTCTAAATTGAGATAAATAAAGAAAAGTTTCTCAAAATGGTTCATTTATTTAAAGATGTTCTTGGAACATCTCTGGAGCTTTCGGCAAAGAGCTTTTTACTTTAAAAATCTTAATATATTTCTGTGTTCTGAAAGTCAGAAGCTTTGTTTACAAAGACGACAGTTCAGAATTTTCTGTATTTTGGGTATTCTGAAACATGGAAATCATGCTCCACATACTTGTCTCAATATTCTTATCAACCTTATTTGGGAGAAAATAATTTTCCTTTACTGAAGAATTACTCTCAACACTAAAACACCTCTTTATAATAAAGCCCAATATAACTTAGAATGTTATCCTCAATCACTTTTCAGCAACTACCAAGTCACGCCACGACTACTTGGGAAATTAGCCCTTATTCTACAGTGTAGAATTACTTTTTACTAGAATAATAAAGAACCTATAGTATAGATTATTCTTATTAAAAATACCTGCAGAAATCGAGGGCAAAAAGAAGCTGGGAGAAATAATTTCATCTTAAAATCAGATTAATTATTTCATTTAGAATTTCTGAGAAGATGTGTAGGAGAATTCTATGTAGGTATATATTTGGGATAAAAATTTGGCAGTTGTAATAACAATGGCTAACATGAGATGAACATTTATTTCTCTCTCATGTTCAGGTCTAAACATAAAGGAGCTTTGCTCCTTGATAAGCAGGGGCCCTGGAACCCTTCAGCTAGTTCCTTTACCTGTAGGACTGTGCTCTCATCTCTATGGCATAGAATGACTCACTAGTGAGTCCACCTTCCTGAAAGCAGAAGAGGGGTAAAGGGAAGGCAAACTCCTGCCTTTAATGGTGGGGCTTTTTTGATAAGGTGGCTTATTCTCACTTACTTTCCATTGGCCAGAACTTGGCCACTTGACCTTGTGAAATTATTTAGTAATTATCAAGTGTCATCTTTATTCTGGCAAATGTCATCTCTATTCTTGCTGGTCACAGGCTCAACAAAAGTTTCGTTACTACAAGAGGAAAGGAAAGAACAGATATTGGAAGAGGAATAGTCTCTGGTGATGGCTCTGTACAAGACTGACACCTGAAGTATTTTACAATTTACCCCAGGCTTTTGCATATTTATATGTTGTGAGAGGAAAGCTATTCCTGATGTTTTGTGTAATTTCAACCTGAGGAGTCAAATTATGCCTAAACCTCCACAATTGTTAAGTGGGGCAGTCATATTCACTACAAGGAGAAGATTCAAGACAGAGTGTTGACTTCATGAATATTAAACTGGAGTTTAAAAAATAGTGAAGGGCCTCCCTGGTGGTGCAGGCGGTTGGGCGCAGCGCTGTGAAGCTGTCCTCAGCCTCTGCAGTGCTGGTTTGATCCCCACCGGCCTTGGAGCAACCCACATGGAGAGCAGACCTCTCCTGTCCTGCCCCCTGCTCCCCTCAGCCATGTATTTCGTCAGTCTGCCTGTTCTGCTCCCCACTCTGTCTCTGGTGAATCCTCTCACCCTCCCATGTATCTGGCCTGCACCCTAGTTCTTGTAT